TCATCTGACAGGGGAAGACACTTACAGCTAGGGGAATCAAGAAAGGCCTCCTGCACAAGGCAGAATTTGAGCTGAGTCCTGAAGGAAGCCAGGGAAACTAGGAGGCAGAGGGGAGGAGGGAGAGCAACTTGGGGGTGGGGGCCAGCTTGTGCCCAGGCACAAAGATGGGTGTTGCCTGGATAAGGAACAGCACACTGGCCAGTGTAGCTGGCACCATCACTATTTCTACCATGTTACATACATTCATTCCTCTTCTTATAATTTGCTACTCCCCAACAATAAAAACTGGGCCTTAACGGAGCATACATAAAAGCTATTGGATAGGAACTGCCACATAGAAAATATAAACAGATGGTAAACTCCACTTCATGCTGACTGTGCATCCCACCAACTCTAAGTAATGGATACTTCCAACCTAGTGGCTTTGGCTACTTCCATCCCAAGTCAAGCAGAGGAGACATGCAGTCAATGAAAGAATGAGAGATTGAGTCCCGTATGCAGAGGCTTGGTTCCCATCTGTTCCTTTCCTCTTTTCCTGCTTGTACTGCCCCTCCCCTTCTGCCTTCCCTGAATTTACTGAATTATTCCCAGTGGACTCACACCCAGCTTTAGTTTATTTTCCTTTCCATTCTGGGGCAGGCAGTCTGCAGACACAGTTGGCCAATTATTTAGAGGTCTCCATGTGTCTTTGGGGCTTTGTTCAAGTCTAGAATATTACAAGCCTATCAGATCCTCTGAGGTTACTACAGAAAAAAATGATTCAGTCAGTATACTTGATACATTTTCATCAAAATAGAAACAAAAAGGAAAAAAGTGATACGTAGTAAACAAACAAACAGCAAAAACTCATGATAATATCTTAACCAAGGAATCCTGCTCATATTTTCAGGACTATTAATGAAAATACTTCTGACAGTGGAGATTAAACTCAGCGATCCCAGTTTTACCAGCTTCTATGACTCCTACAAGTCTCCCTCAGGAAAGCAAGATGTATGGTATGGATGATTGCTGGCAATCAAATAGGTGTTCTGCTAAGGAATCATTTAACTAAGTCAGAAGACACTTGGGCAAACACAAAGCTGAACTGATTTGCAGAGATAATTTTACTCCCCTGAATCCCCTTACATCTTAACTCTCTGCCCCTAAGACAGCCTTAGGCCTACAAAGAAGGGGAAAGAAAATTTTTAGTTATCTGGTCAATTGATTATTTCACATGGTAATGGAAGTAAATCTCAGGTAGCTGAGAATTCGGCCACTAACGAAAGGCCCCCAACATCGTGGCTTTCCACTCCAAGACCTAGAATTTCACACTCATTTTCTAATGTCACAGTGACTTTGAAGAAGATTGCCAGTATAAGCTTAGGCTATATTTGGATAATTTCCCCTTTCCCTCCAGATGTATTTCATTGGCTCTCCTCAGCTATCCTCAGATGTGATTTTGAACTATTGTGTGTCTATGAAAAGCTTCACCAGCTTATATTCTTGTCCCTCCTCCAGAAAGTTTCCCCCAAATATTCCAAACCCACACTTCTTATCCTTTCTCTAAACTCTTAAATTATTGCCTTTAAGGGTCCTGATCAAATAGGACCTTGTATTATTATTTAATCGATGCATGGGGCTTCTCCTAAGAGAGTAAATTGCTCTGCAAACAAAGGCTCCTTCTTACATGCCTGCTGTACCCAGGATCGGAGCAGCCCCACCGTGGAGAGGTGGAGGGGGCCTCCGAAGCAATCCTGCCCACCCAACCCTGAACAAGCAGCCCTCAACACATAGTAGATCATCCAGCTCCTGCACAAAGACCTCCAAGGAGGGGAAACCTACTAATTTCCAACCCCCTCCCCTTTTCCTTTAATGAACAGTTACAGAATTGAATTTTATCAGGTTACCAAAGACATGAAACACTTAGGGCTTACTGAGAGGCATGACAAGTACGGTGTCAGTTGCCATACTCCTCAATTTTTGCTTGAAATTCATTTACCCAACACCCAGCATTAATATTTTACCAGAGTAGCTGTGCCTCACACAAAGTACATTGATAAGCTCAACAGGACTGTCTGCACGCAAATTTTGGAAAGCGGATGACAAACTGTGAGGCTGTAACAAGAGACCTGGTTTTAGGGTCAGAGCACCTGAGCTTGAATACAACCTCTACTACTCTACAGAGCCACTGTGTGACTCTGATGGTGCACTTTACCTTTTAGGACCTCAGTTTTCTCATTTGTAAAATGAAGGAGTTGACTAGCCGCACTAGATGGCTTCTGAGGCCCCTTTCGGCTCTAACGCTACAATCCTACGCTGGTCATAAAGCATCACTTCAGGCTGCTGCAATGTGCCTCTCCTAAATAAACCAAAAGGAATGCATTAACTATCAGTGGGCCTGGAGAGTCCTCAGCTCCACAATTTATACGTCTTAATTTGGAAGAGGAGCACTGGGGGTGTCTCATAAGCAACAATTTCTTCAGCCCCAAAACGTCCCCTCTCAGATTTCCTAAGATTGGGAAATACCTATCTCCTTCTAAGTAACAAAATACCTCCACTGACTGTCAACTCTCATCCTGTTCCCAAAACAATTCAAGGCAAGTACATTGCTGGGACCCCTCTGCATTGGCCCCCCCCACGGGAAATCAGACAGAATCTGTTAAGACATTTCATGCATAGACTTTGGGGAAATCGGAGATAATCCTGCTTGGAAACAAAGCTTTGAGTCCTAGCTTGGTAGGCAGGAACTAGCTGTAGCCTGGTGATCTCAGGCTGGTGTGGCCCTGACACCACTAAGACCAAATCTAATCAGAGCTTAAGTCAATTAGCTCTTGTGACTCGGAATGAAACATGGGAGAGGAGAAGGAAAGGACACCAGTCCTGGCTAGGCATCTGTAGTTCACTCTCTTCAGGGAGCCTGGCATGATTTAAGTCCCAGAAAAACCTGCCCCTCAGACAGTGAGCACTAAATATTTAGTCTAGGAGGCTGAGTATAGAAGCTAATCTTTCACTATGCTCCAGGGACAGGAGAGCAAAGTACTGTCATTGAAAAGGTAGAAGGTGGATTCCTTCTCCTCCCCACACTAGTCCATCTTAAATTCAAGGCAATAATTCATCCTGCTTCAAGCTCCTGAATCTACAAGGTCCCCCACATTTATTATTGCATTAACTGCTACCATATGGGGTAGCAACTATAAAATGCAGGGGAGCTGACAGGCTCAGAATATGCGACCCAACCAGCAGCATCTCCGAAATGGTTTTCTTTGAGATGGCAGCACCCACCATATATACCCATAGAATGCCCAGATCACAAGGGTCCAAGGATTTCAGAGGCTTAACTACAGAAAAATATTGCTACAAGCCATACAATACTGCAGTGGCCCCCCTGCAAAGAATCCACATAGGGCTTTACAGTGGATACAGAAATGACTTTGCCCATCACAAAGCAATCAATATTTACTGAACATCTATAACATACAAGGCTCCAAAATAGAACCATCTCTATGTCGAAGTCCAGTGGATGTTTTCACTTAACTTTTAACAAGTTAACGATACAGAGAAGGAATGTGTCTGTGTGTGTGTGTGTTTTTCTCCCTAAATCAATCTTTAAGAGAAATTAGGGGCAAAGGTCAGATACGTAAATCCAACTGTGTTCAAGACATTGTGACAGCTTACCCACCACTGTCCCCTCCAGTCCTTGAAGTAAAAAGGGGCATTAGCTCTGTCAACTACAAAGAAAGCTTTCTCAACCAACTGGAACTCCAAAATACTTGTGTGGCTGGAGATAAGAAAGAAGCAAAGTCTTCAACGAGGGAGATGGTAAAGCTGCCCCTCACTCCCAAGCAGCTAGTAACCACTTTAGCCCGGGATCAGATCCAGGGTTTCCCACTCTGGATACCAATTAGCTCCTTTAGCTGAAATAAGATTTGCTGATGGCACCACTCATTTCAGTGCTTCGAGATCAGATTATTTATTCAGACTTCTTAAAAGCTGTCTAACAAATCATGGCCAAGCATGACAGCTGTCTCATCCCTTCAAAATCTCTACAGAGCAGTTTATCTCATCTCACCCAAGGAATAAAAGAAAAGGATGCCTTTAATGACAACATATGTAAGCAAAACAAATACTCAGTCTTTCCTTCCCACCCTCTTTTCAAACTAGAGAAATGTCAAATCACATCAATTCTTCAACCCATGAAACCAGGCTAGTCCACTGTGGTCTACTGAGATGGTCTAGATTCAAATCGCCAAAGGCCAAGCCTGTTCCCTGAAAGTCACACAGACACAAGCAATCATTATTTTTGCTTTTTAAAACCCACTGCTTCTCAGCATTTCTGCCTCAGGAAAATTTTGCCCAAATTTACCAAGAATAATGGGGACTTTACCAATCAATTCATCAGTTGCTCCCTGAGGAGCACACCATACTGCTGCTCTGAGATGGCTTTTTTCCTTAAAGTGCCTGGAGACTTTGTACACAGTAATAAACAGGCCAAGCAGTCCCCACCCCCACCTCTCTAGCATCAATGCAGTCATAACAGCTCCTCTTTGCCCAATAACTGTTGCCATGGGAATGCTCTTTCACTATTAACACAAGGACAGAATGGGAATTTCACTAAATAAAATGCAGTCTCTTATGATGGGAGCAACAGCACACATTATGACACAGACCCCACGGATTATGTTTGTGGGTTCTAAAAGGGGCAGTGGAGCAATGGCACCCGATGGAGGAAAGGGCAGAATCAAGGTCTCCTCAAATTCGGTCACCCAGAGCAACCAACTGTGCCAGCCACCATCCCTACCAACAAGCCTAAACTCCTGCCTTTCCAAACAGCCCAGGTTCTGTTCCCATCTTGGAACCATCAGAAAAAGCTTCAGTTCTTAAGATTACTGGGAATTTCTGGAGGCCTTCTTGTATGAATTGTCTCTTAGCTACTTCCCAACATCTTTCAATAATGCCAAAAATCTCCTCCACTTTGGGTGCTGCAGATGCTACTGACGCTCAGGACTCCAAGAAAGCCGTACCTGGATCTACCTCCAAAGCAGTTTGTGCTGGGCGGCTGGTGCCGGGCCTCGGTCGCAGGAGCTGTCCCACTGGGCTCTCTCCCAGGTAGCTGTGCTCCTGAACGAGGAAATCCACACAAAGAGAACAGAAAGATTAGACACTCAGTTTCTCTAGCACAGCTAGGCCCCCTCCCCCCCACAGTGGCTGACAGAACCCTGGCTGGGACAGTAGTAACCAACAATGGAAAGTTAAAGAATACAGGCACTTACCCTGCATTGGAACACAAGCCCCCTGGCATGCTATAGCCACCGGGAGAGAGAACCCATGAAGAAAAGAAACAAGTGGAAAAAGATGAATGAGACGACTCTACTAGCATGAAATGGCGGTCATGAACACAAATCTTAGGAAAAGATCCAATCTTAGAACTATCTGGCTCTAGCCCTTCCTAGAAGGTCTTAGGAGGAAGCTTGGTGGCACAATGGCAGAGTGGCAGAGCGCTGCACTTGCAGTCAGAAAGCCCTGAGTTCAAATGCTATCTCAGACAATTAATAGCCTCATGACCCTGGGCAGATCTTTGTGCTCCAGTTTCCTTCTCTGAAAAAGGAGTTGGACTAGCCTGATGGCCTCTGAAGTCCCTTCTCATTCCAACTGATGACCCTCGGTCTCAACTTTCTCACTTATAAGCTAAGGGAAGTGATCGAGCTCCAGGGTCCTGTCATTCTAAGGTCTTAAGCTTACTTTAGGTACTTCAAGGATCTGTGATTTCCCAGGTGTGAGTAGTCCTTCCACTAACGCAGAATGAAACCTCTTGGCAACTCAGTAAATGGTCTTCAAGAGTTGTTGTGGCTGAAAAAGTCACTACCCTGAAGGTCGCTTGGCTGGATGGCGCCATGGCCACCAGAGCCAACCTCCATCACAGAGAGCTTGAAGCCTTTCCCCTTGGAAGGTTCCACCGCAGCTTGTGCTCCCCTGACCCCCACCCTCCACCCCGAGGCTTGAGACCACACTGACATGGAGGACCTTAACAGATCTTGTTCTCTTAAATGGAAATTAATTTCAAGGTCACAGAAAGTGAGAAAGTGTGTAAGAGCGCATGAGGAAAAAATGACTTGTGGGGCATGCTCCTCTAAGACCCCAATTTCTGGACCCAAAGCGGCCCTAAAGCTGGCTTGCCAGTCTCCCTTGGTCCTTTTCTGCAGTCTCCTTGGCTGCTCCAATTCAGGAACCTTTCAGCCCAGTGAATGAAGGTCTAGTTGAGAAACATGTCTGTCTGTCTGTCCCTCACTGTCACGATGTTCTGCCTCCTTATCCCAGAGTCAGAATACCAATCTCTCCTCCTTTAACCTACAGACAGCCTCTTTGGGGAGGTGGAAAGCTCTATGGTCATACTTCATTCAATAAGACATTTAGTAAGGGAAACAGGAGGAAACCTAATCCATTTCAGGGGCCAGACTTAACGAAATAATTTCTTTCTGGATCCAAAAGATCCAAATTCATGCTAGACTAAATGAACCCCTCATCAACTCTGAACAATGGGGTAAAAATGCTCATCTATCCTGACTCCATTCATGTTTTGTTAGATTTGTATAGCTAGGAGAGCCAGAATACCGTGCTGGTATCCATGAAACATTACCCAAGAAGCCAGAAGAATGCCTCAAGAATGTGGAAGAGATTCTCTATGGAGGAATTACAGAAAGATGGAGAAAAGAAGTGCTCAGGATGAGTGAGCCTGGAGGGGCTGCAATCTACTTCACAGAAGGAGTGGCCATGCTGAAGAGTTCTAGAATACACTGAAATACTGAAGCCTATGAGTATCTGTCCTACAGATGAATCCATCTCCAAAGAACATGTGTTCTCACACAGCACACCCTCAAATCTCTCCATTAGGCACAAGCACAGAAGGAAGAGGAAAAAAGAGCAAGAGGAGGAAGCTATTTCCAAGAATTCCCCAGGACTGAATGTAGCTCACTGCCTTTGCTGCTAAACCAAAGAGCATGCATTTACTTTTCAATTTTATATTCATTCCTAATCAAGTAAGTCCTAGGAAAACCAGATTAAAGGAGACCAGCTTCTTGACTTAGACACAAAACTTGAGAGCAGAAAACACATGCAGCTCATTTCCGAATCCAAGGTGCTCTGGCACCTTTCACCCAAACAGGAACCAAAGCCATATTATGGATCAGGACTGCCTGAGAGGTACACAGAATGAGGCTTCCTGGTGCTGCACACCCCCACCCCTGGGGCTCAAGCCTTGCCACTCCCCTATTCAGGCAGCATGTGCAGCAGGGCAGCACTCACCGTCTGTCACGGCACTGCCATTAGGCACACTTCCCAGATCAACAGTTGGCCCGTCCAGGAAAATTGTCAGCTCTCCGCCTGAGACAACGCTGCCTTTGTTCTCTGTCTGCAGGTTCAGGGTCAGCTGTGTGTTCTCCACTGGTGGACACAGAAGGCAATACAGACAGAGCAAACCAATTTCACCATTAGTTAAAGATTTTTCAATTGAAAGCCTCCCCTTTTACTTACTCTCTCTCTTTCTTTTCTGTTTCAATTCTATTTTTCTCTTACAGGACTCTGAAAGAAGGGTTAGGAGGTAGGTGACATATTGGAGAAAAGAGACCTTGAGCAAAGTTTCAGACAGTATCCATTGCACCCACCTCAAGGGCAATGGCAAAGCAATCCCACTCACGGAGTTTATTCCTTCCAGCTATAAAAGGAAATGAACATGATCAACTTCTCACTGGTTGAGCCTCATGAGAGCAAAGCAGTCAAGATTTGGCCCTGTGAGTGGGATAGAGACGAGGGAAGCTCTCGAAATTAAGGAAGGAGAGTAACACAGCCATCTGGCACACTCCAAAATTCAATCCTATGAGCCTGGTACAAAAGGGAGAGTGTTGGTATCTGCAGCAAATATACTGTGCAAACCAACAAAATCTGCGAATGCAGCATTTAAAGGAACGTCTTCAAAGTAGAGCATAATAAAGGATCAGTCTTAATCCCTTCCCATTCAGGAACTATTTATTTAGTACAGATGTACTGTCCATGCAACTTCTTTAATCTCTTGTTTACTCTACTGATATTTTCAGCTACTATCACCTCTTAGTTCCATAACGGATTTTCTAGGCAGTAGCACTTTTTACTCATTTGAAAATGACTTATTTCCAACTTCAGTGTCCACCAACTCCAAAATAGAGTGACTATTCCCTTCTAACCTCCCTCTTTCTCCCCTGAAGTTCTACTGTGTCTTAATCTCTCTGCTCCATAAAGAGAGCTTCCCCTAACTTGTCAAGTCTAGAGGCTTTTATGCCGACTTCTTCCTCTTTCTCTGCCCTCCTTAAGGTGCTGCAATCAGATACACCATGATGATAAAACAATGTGTTCTAACTTGTTTCCAACACATTTCTTGATGATACCAAGCATTATGATATCCATTTTATTCAACTACCAGCCAAAAGTATTGGAGGAACAGTATATAAACCACGCATAGATATATTCCTTCTATATATCTTCTATCATCATCTTAAGATGATTTGGATGAATTTTCCTCCCAGCTGAAAAGACAACAACGTCAAAGATCATCACAGAACAAGAACCTCTTCTGGGCCATCTATAATATCACATCTGCCCATGGCCTCTCACATGAGCCAAAGAAGGCCAGCCTTCAGTTAGGCTGGCCTCGGCAGACAGATCAGTGAAGGGTCTGAAGAAGAGACCTCTTCCTGGAAAAGCAGAAAGGTGGGGACCACTAGGACAGAAGGGTGCATCCCTCTAAGGCCCAGTGGCTGCATCAAGTGTTTTTGCTTCACTGTTTTTCTTGCTCACAAGGAAAGGATCAATGGAGGAGGGGGATGGCTGTGAAAGTAAAAAGCATCAATGAAGGGCTTTTGTTTATTTTTTTTTTAAGGTAACAGCAATGACATTGGCCCAACTCTGCTGGCTCCAATATCTCATGGCCCCGATTGTGCTTTTCTTTTTTGTTTTTCCACTGTTTCTGGCCAGATCCATTTATATAATACACACACACACACACACACACACACACGCCCAGAAGCAACTGTGCAGCCCTGTACAGTACATTTTATCTTCATTTCACTCACAGGGTATTTTTATGTTTGTTTTTTTTTTATTAAACCTCTGAGAATACAAACTTGCTTTACCCAAAAAAACCCACGGAGCTAGGGGAGCTACACAATACATAATGGGGCTAAGGGAAGGTGATTAGCTAATTGAATGACAGACTGGGATACCCAGTGGAGCCAAGAAGGAGTGTGTGTGGCTGGAAAATACAGCCTGGCACTGGAGTTCTAAATAGGAGCATTAGCTGTCCTCCCCCTGGAGCCCAGCAGGCAAGCTGACAGACTTTACAGACACCCTTTCTTCTCTTGCACTCATTCCTTTAAATTATGATAGTAATGCCAAATGGGTGTAAGTCTTCCGCCTGACGGCATGGACAAGTCCGCCTCAGCCAAGGCTTCTGACTGGGACTGTCTCTGTCTGGCCCAGCTCTGTTTGTACTATCAGCAGATACCACATGAAACAAAGGCCACATTGCTCCCTCAGCAATGACTAGAAAACACTCATTCTCTACTTTCCACAATGAATGTTTTAGAGTCCCTGCCAATGCATCTCGACTGTCACCCATAGATCTACTACCCTCCAATTCTAATCATGGGACCTCTTTAGCAGAAGGAGACCAACATACGGAATGGTTGGAGGAAATCAGATGCAATCAGAACAAAACAGGACATAAATACAAATGGAAATACTAAGCTAGCGGTAGAATTCAGTTACTGCCCAGGGTATGAATTTATGCTGGCCTGGGATATCAGTACAGACCTACTTCCTAAGTTACAGGATTAGTGATTGTAATGGTTACCTCCAAGATAATCTCAGCAAAAGCAAAGTGGGCTCAACAGACTGAAAATAAATCACCCCTGACACCTAGAATTAGGATGTCCTTCTTCTCTACTCCCTTTCTTCCCGACCAACTATAAAGTATATCAAGCAGCACAGAAAGAAAAGCATGAGTGAACACAGCCACGAGACTTTCTCTAGCTTCTTCCTCTGATGCCTCCCTGTGAGCTGACGGTGCCCCGGGGTTCTGAAAGGCCATGCCAATGAACTGCCAGCCCTCGCCGGGTCTTAACAAATGCAGGCCTAGCAATGACAGGGTGCCTTATCAACCAAGGACCAGATTGACCACAGGATAGAGAGTTTCTCTGCCACAACAACTCACAAAGACCAGCTGTTAAGGCAAGAATAATGGATAGTCTGTGTAAATGGAAGGATACCTCCTATCTCCCAAAAACCCCACAGATTCCTAAAGTTCTGAGATATGTGCACATACTATCACATTGTGCCTACTCTATGGCTCCACAACGGGCATTTTTCACAAGCAGTCTTGTCATTTCAAATAAGGTGTGAACAGAAGCCTACTAGGTCAACTACCACTGCTGCCCTATTTTGTCACATTAAGGAAAGAAAGGATCTGCAAAAACCCTTATGTCTTACTTGAATCTCAGAAGCCAAGCAAGGGATTCATTCGCTTTCCTACTAGAGAGCAATCAATTTCTAAATTCTTAACATGTCAGTCAAACCATATCCGAATACAAGTTGAAAAACCTTAACCCTAATTCCAAGGAAAGGATCAAGAGTCTTGATCTCAAATTCCGACATCCTCAATTTGGCCCCTCCTAAGCATCATATCAGCCATTTTCCCCAGTGGCTTCGGATAACTCATGTCCAGTAAAGTACTGTCCATATGTTCAATGAGAGAGACTAGAATTCAACTTTTCCCTTCCATAACTATGGTGTTTAAATGTGTATTTTCCACAAAGCATCAATAAGTTCGGATGGATAGAATCTACAACACTGAAGGGGTTTTTTTCCCCCTATGCTGATGACAAAAAAAAAAAAAAAGGCAGAAAACCTCAACTGGTAAATCATTCCTGCCACACTATACAATAACAATGCAACTACTGTGTATTTATGAAATCCAGGGCTCATGCTCTGACAAGAGATTTCTAAACACTCAGGATTTCTGCAGTGTATGTGAGAAAGCATTTTCTACTTAGATGTTTAGCTGTGCTTGAAACATTCCCTCCCAAAGCATGCATGCATCACTTTTAAAGAAGGGAATGCTATCCTTGGTTTCTTATAACTCAAAAAATGAAGGCAAGGATTTCATTCAAATGCCTAGTATTCAAACTTTATAAATCAACCTTTCTCTCATTTCCCACTGCAAAAATAAAAAGGGCTATACAGTACTTCTGGAGGACACCAAGTATTGAAACCTTCAGCCCAGAAGGCTTCTTTATGGAAACTGACAGCGATGTGGTTGGCTTGGCTTTAACCGTAATGATAACCGAAACACACAAGGCTCCTTCTTCACTCCACCGTCATTCCCATATTCTTCTCAAAAGGAAGGAAAAATAAACAGTGCTGTTTATTAACAGGTAAACGCTCATTTTGCACATGACTGTGAACCTCTGTGTATGGCCAGAGCTACTCGGCAACAAAGCACGGAGGAAATACCAGAAGAACACAGTGTAGTTTTCCCTTCCCAATCCTTCACAAGAATAAGCAATACGACGGTCTGGGGTTTAACCAGCTTCCCTGCTCCTGTGGCTTGATCCCAATGCTTTTTCTCCACGTTCCTGGTGCAGAAAAAGGAGGCCACAGGGCTTCAGCATTAACTCTCATAAGAACCTGCCACACTTGAGACATCTTTGCCACCATCTGGCTTCCCATCAGCCATAGCCTGACAGGAGAAATGCACTGCTTTGAGTTTCCCTCAAACTAGCACCAGCCCGAGAACACTAAACTCTTGTTACTTGGACAAATTCCACCGTCCCACAAGGGGACCCATTTTGTTTCAATCTCTTGCCTAAGGGGAAAGTCCTGATCTTATTTGCCATCTGCACATAAGCACTTTGGCTTACAGATGAAGTGCAGGGTAACAACACACGAGGTCACACTAACTTGCCCTGAGAAAACAGCTTCATCTCACAGGACCAATTCAACTCTATACATGTAAGAACTATCAGACTAAGAAAAAATAGTCATGAGCCTCCTGGCCATGAATGTACTTCAGGTCCCAACGTACTTCATTCCAAATTTATGTGGACACACACACACACACACACCTCTTTGTTTTAAAAAATAACAAATACAAAGAGTATCAAAATCTCCCAGTCATGATTACAATCTATCCTATAAGTCACATATCATACACAAAGGGACTTTGCTGACCCAACAGAGGGTTCCTTTAAAACAAGATACAAAGCCCTCATCTATCCTGGTAAGTCTCACTGTTTGTTACACCCTGGCAAATTTCAGATTACAGGAATGATTTAGAGGGAATAATTATTATTTTGGGAAAAGCAGGTGAGTTTGACTTGAATGAAGTCTCAGTTCACATCAGCGCCGCTGCCCTG